GCCGATCAGCACCCAGGTACCATGTCTGGGATGATTGTTCTTAATGATGTGCCTGTTTATGCCTTATTTGACACCGGAGCGACCCATTCTTTTATATCACGCCGATGTCTCAAAGCTATTGGAGTTCATTTTCTTACCACTGTCGATCCTCTCGAGGTGAGTTTAGCCTCGGGGAGAAAGATAGTGACTGATGTTAGAGCCACCGATCTCAGCCTTTCCATCGGCGGCCGTATTTTGACTACTGATGCTTATGTTATCGAGATGAGGGATTTTGACCTCATACTCGGTATGGATTGGCTAACACGTTTTCACGCAGATATTTGATGTCATGACCGGGAGATTATTCTTTATCTTCCGGGAGATGATCAGATCACTTATTTCGGCTCCAGGACTCGTACTCTGCCCCATATTATGTCTATGGCAAAAGCCAGGAAGATTCTTCGACGGGGCGATTGCCAGGGTTACCTTGTGAGCCTCGTTGGAGATGAGCCAAAGGCACGTTCACCTCATGACATTCCCATTGTTCGTGAGTTTGTGGACGTGTTCCCAGACCAGCTTCCAAGCGGTCCACCTATCCGACAGGTGGAATATTCTATTGATCTTATCCCTGGAGCCGGACCCGTTTCTAAGGCGCCGTACAGAATGGCACCTAAAGAATTGCAGGAATTAAAGACCCAAATTCAAGAGTTGCTGAATCTCGGTTTTATTCGACCGAGCGTCTCACCTTGGGGAGCACATGTTCTCTTTGTCAAGAAGAAGGACAGATCCATGCGTATGTCTATCGACTACCGGGATCTGAACCGGTTGACGATCAAGAATAAATATCCGCTTCCCAGGATCGATGATTTATTTGATCAGTTGAGGGGTGCCTGTGTATTTTCCAAGATCGATTTACGTTCAGGCTACCATCAGCTGAAAATCAAGGAATCAGACATACCTAAGACAGCGTTTCGTACAAGATACGGTCACTTCCAGTTCGTGGTTATGCCGTTTGGCCTCAGCAATGCCCCGACAGTATTCATGGACTTGATGAACTGTGTATTTCATCCTTTCCTTGATCAGTTCGTTATCGTATTCA